TATCACGAACCACTTGTATCTAGATCCCTAGCGCCAGGCTAGCGCTATCCTAGCGCCAACAAGGGGATTAACGAGCCCTAGTTGCGTGACGCCTCTTGTTGAGCATACAAATCTAGACCCCAGCAACCAAATAGGTCCTTTTGTATAAACTTCGCGACAGGGTATTTAGAGCGCTGCCCATATGCAGAGCAGCCTGCAGTATCAAAAAGAGGCGATGTGAACCGGAATAAGATCCTACAAGAGTTTGAAACAGAATGGACTGACTTAAGTTCTTTGGGGACGAGGTCTAAATGCTCTGCCTGTTGATGCTTATTGGGCGATTGCAGTACTTCTGCTGTTTTAAGGTTCCAAAACCGTCACACTTCGACAAGATCTAGAAGAGGCATGCATGATATGATCGAGATTGAGCTGCAGGGCAAGGTAGGCGTAAACAGCACCTCGACACAGCCTGCAAACAACAGCTGGGCTCAAACTTAGCGCGTGGGGGGCCGCCCAGGGCCTGCTACAAGCCTTAACGTTTACAGCCGTATCCATGTCTTGTCTACAGATCTACAACACATGATAGCACCCCTGTGTATAAAAATGAATCATTCCACGCCCCCATAGGCACATATACAGATATTCATGAGCTGCGTAGAAAATGATGCAATGTGCAGGGTTGCAGACGGCTCACAAGGCCTCGCATTGGGTTTCAGAAGGGTTCTGCAAGATAGGAGTTAATTAGTGTGTTGCTCCCTTTCCAAAATACTTTCCGAGGCGAACGCTAGAGGAACCCTAAATAAGAAGAAAACGCCACCCGCCATGTAAGGGTTTGAGGCTGACAAGAGCCTGCCGTGAAATTTCTGCTTCTGGCTTCTTTAGCTTTCCGGGAGTTTCCTTGGGGCTGAAGACTTCGAGACGCTGCAGCTCCCAGCCTGTGGCATACATGGCCATGGGCAGCGGCTCGGGGTAAAGAAGCGGTGCCACCGCCAAGTAGTCCACGATGTTCGTCATCATGGGCATAAGGATCCTGTCACAGCTTGTCTTCGAGAGATCCACAAAAAAACATGCAATTTCCAGACCCCCGAACTCCTCGAAGCTCTACAGTGCCTCTCACCCTACAGAAATCCGATTCTGGGGCCCTTCTTCTTGGAAAACGGACATGTTGCCAGCTCGTCGCTTGCCAGGGCACACGAAGAGGTAGCGCAGGGGAATTCCCCAGCCTGCTGAACACGAAGACAAAAAAGTCTGTATCGGAACTTTGAAAACGCTAGAATCCTAGAAGGTCCCAAACTCTCATGAACAAAGACATATACTTGCAAAAAGACCCTATAGACGCTTTCCTGGCTACGCTCTCTCTCCGGCTGGAGAGCCGAGGGAACAGGATAGCCAGCTTTCGAGGTACTCTTGAGATTCACTCTTGCGGAGCTCGCTTGAAGCCCAAGGGCTTTCGCGCCCATGCGCAATAAGCCCAGGGTCTATTAATGCACACTCAGCCTCTGCGACCCTACAGTTGCAGTAGAATAGAAACGACGGCGTCAACCGGAATCATAGTAGCCACCAGTGTCTACAGTTTGTTGGTGTTCAAGAACGGGGCAAGATCATCTGAAACTTAACTTAGGCCCAGCACGGGAAACGCAGACTCACAATGCAAATGTTACAATTACAGCATCATCATGTGAGCATCAGCACCATCCGACAGCATCAGCATCACCACCTGCCCTCATCCTTGAAACCCCGAGCCCTCAAGATAATAAACCTTAAGTTTTGACTCCTCAACCCTTTAAAACTCTCCATGCCCAGGTGCATCCCAAGCCTTAAACCCAAGGACAAGGAGCCTCCGAGAGACTTCGTCACAGCGATGGGGACCTCCGTCCTTACGAGCTCGTTGAATGCGACCAGGGCGTCCTTCTTGAGGGTTTTTCTGGGCCCTGTAGGCTTCAGCTGTGTCCGCGCACTGCGGTTGAGATCGACGCTTTTAGGGATTTTACGGCCCCGGATACAAAGCTTGGTTTTGACAGTTCTCAAGGGCAGGGTCGAGGTGTTCGTGTCAGCTCGGGCCATGGACTCTTTCTGTGCGGGGATGACATGATGCTCCTACAAATCTACGGAGCTGGAACTTAAGTAAGGGAAGCACACAAGTCTGTCGTGGGGCTCAGGGTCGAGATCTGATGATCCCCGCAAGCCTGAGCCACAGCCACAAACCGTGCGATGCTTCTTTGGTAGTGTTCCCTCACCAGAAACCCTGCCACCTACGCCCTGAATCACTCCGTGCCAAGATGAGCCCCAAATGCTCAGATCGTGCGGCTGTACGTTTAAAGGCCCATGTAAAGAAGTCCCATAGTTCAAAACAGGTTTCCCCCAGAGCCCTTACGATATCAATGCAGTAGATAATTGAAAGTCTCCGCCCCCTCCCTTCCCCGTCTCCTACCCCTACTGCACTGCTTTAGAGTCTCCTCGTCGGGTGCCTCGGCCGAAACTGCCTTCGTCTCCCGCATGTACCTCACCATGCCAACCCTAAGAGCTGCCCCAAGTTCCGAATTAAAGCCCTGCGAGCCCCCCCCAAAAGCCTACAAGCCCTGTCAGCCCGGAAGTTCACCGTAGCACGGGGAGGCTCTTGACTCTTGGGATCCAGCTTGCATCTTCTATAGGCTTCTGTGTGTTTAGGGCCCGGGCTCCCGAACTGAAGGAGGTGAGTGCCAGGCAGTTTAAAGCCGCGCTACCTCCGAGGTTCCCCAAGAACAAGGTCCCTTTTCAGAGAGCCATAAGTAGGACTAAGTAGGATTAGGAAGGGTCCCCTTTATAAGGGGTCTCCTTAATAAGCGCTACGTTGGGGAAGACATGACAAGGGAAAAGCAGCACTGCAGCGAGGACATCCGGAATCCACACACCCTCCCGGTGCAGCTGCCTGGCTATGTTGCTGTACACCATGCTGCGATCCGCCTCCTTCAGGCAATGCGAATCACCTCGGCTTCGCGAAGTTTTGCCTGCGACCTGCGAGCCTTGAACGGTTTGCGCCGTCATTACAAGCTGACACTGGCTGATACCACGAATGTCAGAACCACGGAAGCTGCATCGCCGTGAAGGCGCCGTAATGGAACGTGCGCACGTTCTCACGCATCTGCTTCTCCTCCTTGGCCCACCTGCCAAGGGGTCGCTAAGCACGGCGCCACGCAATTGGCAGACCTCACGCGCAGCATCGCAAATGAGCGCGGCCGACTACACTTCTTGGCATTGCACATGGCACCCGACAGTTGAGCGGAGGATATCTGCTCAAGCAAGTTTGGATGTCTTTTCGGAAAACATGTCTCTATTGCCACGACCCAGAAGGTTCTCTCTGTTGTTTGCCTTCGTTCCCTCTGTCCCCGCTCTCCCTCCTGCCTACGCTACAACGCGAAGTGTAGGGACAACCCCTTGAGCACCCCGCGATCAATGACCGTAGGTCTGCCTGTACGCTTTAAGTCCGTCCCCGGCTGGTGCCTACGAAAGGCCCAGGTGACCACCAGCAATAGTGGTAAATCCTCAGCACGGCTCTGCAAACTAAGCAGCTTGCTCCAGTTCCCTATAAAAGACTCAGCACCACTGGAAACAACATGCGCATGTTCTTCAAGGCCACTGAGCCATAACCCGAAAGGCCTCAACCATGTTTTGCCATGCAGCCAGTAGCAGGATGGCTAGCCTGGAGTCCAGCAAAAGATCTTCTACCGGCTGCTGGACCTTACAGTTCTCGGATGCTCCCGGGCGCAACAGGCAAGGCGCTGCGGATAAATCCCGCTGGCCGCGCCGACCTACCTATAAAACTATAGACTTCCACCAGCACCGCGTGCTAAGCGCAGTGCATCATCCACCAGCAGCATCTGCACCCAAATGCAGTGCAAGGCAACCATTGGCACAGCCAGGATCGTACAGCGGATCAGGAAGGTCGGGAGTACCGCCAGCCGATTGGGACCCCGTTTGGGAAGAAACGTCGCCAGCTCATACATCGTCCAAAGCCTGGTGGCTCAGGGGCTCGGGGTCGCAGCTTGGGCTTCCAAAAACACTGTAGCCGAGAGGCTTCTTGGTGTAAAGCTCCGAATAAACCACAAGCATCTGATCCGACAACTGCAGGAAGATATCTAAGTTCTCGATGCCCTGCTGCTTCAGTTCCTGGCTCAGGCTTCGTGTCGGATTAGGTTATAGATATATAGGTTAGATAGGATGGATAGATAGATAGCCCCTAATCTGTGACAGAGCCAGACTGCAGCGTGAGCAGAGACCTCAGCTTGTGGCGCCGATTTTTATCTAAGCATTCAGATCTTTAAATGGGTTGCGCCGGGCTTTTGCAGTAGCTCTGCAAAGGATCCGTTGCGGTCGCCCGATATATTGAACTTGAAATACCGCAACATCTCACGAAGGCAGTAGTACTGTACTATACGGCACCGACCCACCCCAACCCACACTGACACGAAAGCCCACCACTCCAACGGAGCCCCAGCCCTCCATAGCCGAGCCCTCGATCCCGGGAGGGCTGGAAAGCTGGTCTGGAGGGTTTGGAAACTGCGTTTGAGGGCTGGAGGTGTAGGGGGAGCACTGGATTGGAGGCTTTGCGGGCTGGAGGGTTATGCGATTGGAGGGAGGGGTGGAGGGCCGGAAGGCTGGAGGGTGGCAAGTTCGTGGATTTAGGCGAAGGCTTGAAGCCCTTGAACTACCACAAGATATGGATTATTCGTTTAAAACGTCAATGTGGCGCGAAGCCGCAGCTGGTCACATTCACCGGTCCTCATCTGTTTGATGGATGCAGCAGCGGTCCAGGAAAACCCGCTTCCCACGTCTCCAGAATAGTGCTTTCACGTCGTGCCAGCAAAGCAGAAACAGCCTCTCAAGGCTTGCAAAAGCTGTTATGTACACCCGGTGCGTCCGAAACCAACCCCCAATAAACCAGGTCGAAATGTTTGGGCTTACATGCATAATAAGTCTACCAGCAGCGATAGAACGAGCCCTCGCGACAATCTCAAGTCGACATGAGGCAAGGAAAACATTGA